GTACTTTCTTCAAAGGTGTGGACTGAGAAAGCAAAAGGTGGAGCAGTAAATGATTTAACAGAAGATAAAAAACGAAAGCGTCCCACAGCTGCTGAAGATGAGGTGAAAAAGAATGAGGAGCAAAAATCGGAGGACTCAAATGTATCCAAAAAGAAGAAGCCTTTAGATCAATCTACCAATGTCAGACTGTCATCTTTTGCATTCAAGCAGAGCTAAATAATGTGGTACCTTCTCAGCATCTGCTTTCTCAGTGCAGTTACCCAGTGTTTTCAGAAATTTGCCACTGTACTCAAAGAGCACTAGCAAAAAGAGAGAGTGCCTTGCTCCAAATGTTTTTAGACAATATTTTATGATCAACTCTTTAGGGAAACGTTGAATCCATTCATCAGGTCTCTTTGCAAGTTGCTAGTGTAAAGAGTGACAGAAAAACTAATGCTAATGGACCTGTTACCTAGAAGTGCAGTTCCACAGTTTTGTGTAGCCATGTGTCTGCACACTCATAATATTTGGTGCTAATAATAATAATAAATATGGGTGAGTCATTTTGGGGGGCATATGCTATGTACAGAAACTGCCCTGTGGTTTTAGAGTCATGACTTCTGTACCATTCCTTCTGCCTGCTGCAAACACTTGTAAGAGAAGGACAGTCCAAGGAATGAGAAGGAGGGGGACATGATGACTTAACATCTTCTTGATGGTCAGCTGCAGTTTCAGCATGTGAGGCAGTCACTGAGAAGCCTGACCCAGGCTGGGACAGCAAACCAGAGCAGGTAGGACTGAAGCTGAATTAGGAGTATCAGGTGTACAAAAATGAGCCATGCCAGACTATGCAAATGTGCTTTTCCTGTCTGTACTTCAGTGCTCAGAAATTGTGTGCATTGTTTCATGTGTTTGTTTTTAAAATGAAATGTGATTGTTCCTTTCCTTTACAGTTTTTGTAATTAAACAGACTTTAAGGCAGTAATATTTACCCTTCTTTGGGGAAGAGGCAATATGTCTAACTGATACATTTAAAACAAATTCAAGTTTCAGAACTTTTTTTTTTCTTTTGAGATAAATTAACCCAATTTAACATAACTGCATCCTGTTGTTTTTTCTTTTCCCCTGGCTTTACAGATCTTTTCTTTTTGTTTTTATTCTTCATTTATCTTCATTTTATTATTGAAAAGCTAAATGATTCTCCATTGGGAAGACATTTTTAACATTAAAACCTGTAGGTTGAAGATCCAGAGTGATTTTTGTACATTGTGGAGGTGTTCTGCAAAAAAAACCCTCCTGTTTTCCCTGTACTTAGAAAATAGAAGGGTTATGATGTCAGCTGGGATGGTAAGCACAAATAGAGAAAAATCTTAAGACCCATTAATTTAAATCCCTTTTTTACATCCACTGTTCTTATAATTGTTTCTCATGTTATTGTTCAGTGCTGACAGTAGGCTGCAAGTAATAATTAATGTAAGTGTCCTTACAATGAGGGACTATATTGACACAGAGCAGAAAATCCAGAAGAGTAGTGGGATTTTCCAACAGTTGTCTGCATGCTTTGGGAAGAAATGATGGTATTGATGACTGTACAGGATGAATATTTTAGGCAGTGAGGCATATTTCAGCATTTGAGTTTACTGAAGAAAAACAGCATAGCAGTGGTAAGAAAAACATCCTGATAGAAAATCACTGTGGGCTTAGTGAACTGTGTAATGTTGTTTTTCTGCTGGACTAGGTCGTTGTGATGACAGCTTAGAGTCCTCATCACAGTCCTGGGAGATGTGGTGAGTGGGAATGGATAACATTTCTTTTTTTCTTAATATTCAAGCTGAGCTACCTGCCCAGTGTCCTTTTATGCAGGCCAAAATACAAGAAGAAATTAAGTCTCCATCTGGAGTGATTAAGCTCCTAAGGCTCCCTCGTGAAGGCTGCATCGTGTACTTGTGCAATGCATTTATACCTTGGGCTCAGGACATTGAAGTCCTTTGCAGGCTCAAAAGGTGAGCTGAAAAATCAGGTAGATAAGAAAAGAGTCTGGAACTGGCTTAGAAATGTAATCTGTGTCCCAAATCATGATGGGAAAAAAAAAAACAAACAAACATTTTAATAAGTTAGATGGAAATCCCTCTTTGAAAAGCAGAATGTTCAGATTGGATGACTTTGGGAATATCTGGGCACCTATCAGTAAGTGAAATATTTCTACCTTATTCCTCCTGAGCAGGATGCTGCCTGGTAGCTTCTGATGCAGTGGCATTGTTTTTGGGGGAAAAAAGAATGCTGCTAGTGAAAGGGAAACAGAACCAAGCTGGTCTGTAGATCCAGCTGTTGGGTCTGTGTCTGTTTGTTATCTCACATCTTCAAATTGCACAAATCCAGCACAGTTCCTGCTCTGCAATGGAAGCAGGTAGGTACAGCTGGTCCACAAAGCATCCAAAGTCCTTTTGGCTCCTGTAGGAGGGAGGAAACATCCAAAGTAAACTTGCAGAAAAGTTTTCTGGCTGGTTTCAGAGAGCTGGATCTTTGCAATTGTCATGTCACCGAAAACCAAAAATCACAACACCATGACAGCAATCACGTGGCTCTTCAGAACAAACATGCCAAAGGTCTGTTTTGATGGAGACTCCTGGATTTAGTGGATGAATTCATGGAAATAACTGAGAGGACATCAGATTCATTTGCAAGTCACCAGTTTCTGTTTGCTTTTCTCCTGGCTTAATTTTTGCTTTGTTTTTTTGTGGGTTTCATCAGACCCAATGTTCACAGCCTGGGAACCGCAGTCTGAATCTCATTGCTGTGCACAGGGCTGGAAAGCAGCAGCAGAACTGCTTCCTACATCACAGCTGGGATCTCAGAGGTAGGGGCTGGAGGTGGTGGTGTGCCCTTCCTACAGTCCTCCACTTTGCAAAATGGTGCAGAGGTGCAAAGAGGAACAGCGTTTTAACCCTGATGTTTAATTACTAAGCACTGCTGCTGGCCTCAGCACCAAAATTAGCAGCCAGCAGCAGCACCTGCCTTGCTTCCAGGCCCCAGCTCTTCCATCAGAGCTGCACTCTGCTCCATTGCCCAGCTGCAGGCGGAGCTGCAAATAACCTCCCAGTGCCAGGAGGCTTCCACCTGGCTGGGCAGTGCCAAGCAGAGCTGGGTGTTCACAGAACAATGAACCCAAACCCACCAGAAAACATGGAATGGATCTTTAAGGAAAACTTGAAACCTGACTAGCTGTTTTTCTTTTGAAATAGGACTTAATTCCCAGCTGTGGGGTTCTGTGCTCACCCCAAGCCTGCAGTGCAGCAATGGGAAATGCTGCTGCATCTCAGCCTGCTCCCCTGCTACTGTCACAGCTCCTTTCCACACCCCAGGAGCACAAAGCATCTCCTCTCCCTCACTGTTTCTGACTGCTGTGCTCTTCCATTTCATCACGTTATTTGACCTTAAAGACAATTCCCTTGCTGTCTTCTTGTGCACCTGGGGTATTCTGTTGTACATCAACAGAGTCGACTCGTGCGACATGTCCAGCCTTGCAGGACAGATACAACTGCCAAAAACCAGCAAAAAAGACTCATAGCAGAGGGTGCAGCCTGCTGGCCTTTCAAAGCAGTGAGCATCCACCTGAGCTCTGCAGCTGGAGAGCATGGCAAGCCCTTTATCTCTGGAAAAGATCTATAAATGGATGACTTGGCGTGCTGGAGCATTGCAGACCTGTTTGATTTCAGAGGGAGTGCCAGGCTCACAGGAAGCCAGACATTTATTCCGAGAAAAGAACACTTGTACTGTAAAGCAATAAGATTTGTGTTCACCTCCCAAAGAATATTTTCTTTGGCTTTCCAAGCTCTGTAATATAATTCTGCTACAAAGGAAAACAATGGCCCGACTCATTCGTTTACTTAAAGGCAGGCACGGCGCTGATCTTTACCTGGGCTGTGAAGAGCCACTTGACGCAGGACTTGAGTGGACACAAATGGCCAGGAAATGGGGGTGAACAATTTCAAGTGCTGTGTTGCCAGAGAGCAGCCTGCTTTGCCAATGGCTTTATTGATCCTGGGGTAATAACACTGGGAAGCAGTGGAGTGGAGAGATGCACGGGCACAGTGAGCTCCACTTGTGAAGCTGAAGCCATCCGTGGTTCAGAATTGGGATGGAGAGCTCTGCAGGGCTGTGCTGGGGCCACGCTCTGGCTCAATGCTAATGGTGCTATTGATCTGCATTGCTCACCTGCCTGAGCTCTTAGCAAGACATCAGGCAGACACAAATCACTGTGGAAGGGGTTGAGGAGGAGGAATTTGTCAGCTCAGACTTTAAGTGCTGAGCTCGGTGCCCAGTGCTCATACTTGAATCAATGGGAGAAAAATACAGTGTGTGAATTAATGCTGCCATTTAACAGCTGTCAGTGCAGAAATGGCATTTAAGAAATGCCTTTTAGACGACTTCGCTTGACCTGGAGAACACTGCCCAGGTCCTTCCTCAGCCATTCTGGCACAGCAGTGGTTCCCTTAAGGAGTTCTTAATGGTCTTCATTGCCCAGTGGGCAATGGGGTTAATTAATAGAGAACTGTTGATAAGATCTTGGCCCAAGCAGTGCCAAGGAACAAAGGTACCTTTGGAAACCCCTCTGGTCCCAACGACCAAACCCAGCAGCACATTCCCATTGAATGCAGGGCTGCAGGTGGGAGCACAGAAACACCAGCACACGCAATTATCCCATGTGATGGGAACGTAATGATGAATATGTAATCGCGTGTTGAATGAATGACGTATTTCCATCATGGAAAAGCGCTGTTTGATATATCCCAAGACCCCCCTGAAGGCAGCAGCCACGTCGTTTTCCCCTTTCCCCCCATCCCTCCTTCTGCAGCTCCGCGCTCCCCACGGGCGGTTTGCGAGTGGTTCGGCCCGCGCCTCGAACCCGGATCCCGGCGGCTGGCTGAGTGGTGACGTAAGAGCGGCGCCAGCCAATGGGAGCGGCGCGGGCGGTATAAAGCGGGCCGCTGCGCTCAGTCGGGCGGGAGTGTGGTGGGGCTGCGGGAGGGTTGTGGGGGAGCGGGGTTTGCTTGGCGCTCTCGTCCGGGCCGGCTCTGCCGGCGCCTATGGCGGCGGCACGGAGCTGCAACGGGTACGCACGGCGGGAGGGACCGCCCTCCCCCACGCTGGGCACCGAGAAGCCGCGTGTGTCCGCCGGTAGCGGCGGCAGCGGGGACGGGTGGCGGGGCGAGCGGCCCCGCAGCGAGGAGGACAACGAGCTGAGCCTGCCCAGCCTGGCGGCCGCGTACACCACCATCCTGAGGGCGCTGGGCGAGGACCCCGAGCGGCAGGGGCTGCTGAAGACGCCCTGGAGGGCGGCCACCGCCATGCAGTTCTTCACCAAGGGCTACCAGGAGACCATCGCGGGTAGGCGGCCGCGCCGAGCCCGGAGGGGCACCTGGGGCGGGGGTTCACCTCGCCTTCCTTCCTCCTAGCCGTGCCAGTCAGGGCTGCGCTCAGTGGTGCTGTAATGCGGGGCTTGGGAAACGAGGGAGTTCCCCTCCGCTTCCCCTTCCGCTCCTTCTGGCGCTCGTAGGTGAGTTTCGGTCGGAGGATGAGGGACGCGAGCCGGGCGCTGCTTAACCCGGAGCCCAACTTGCTGCTTCGCTTTCCCTTTTCGTTTCCCCGAAACCCTTCTGCACGTAACTCGCTGAGCAATTCTTCCTGTTGCGATGTCACGTCCCAGACTCGCCGTGGGAGCGGCTGCTCTGTCTTTAGGAGCGAGCCTGGTGTTCAGCTTCACGTCGGTGCTGCGTTGTTCGGTCTCGCCGCACGCCGTGTTTGCGATGGATTCTCATCGAGGTCTCACACAACGACGCTTTGTCTGCTCAGAGTCACAGAATGGCCCGGGTCGGAAGGGATCTCAAGGATCACGAATCTCCAACCCCCCTCCTGCCACCCTGCTCCCCCGCACGGGGGCTGCACTTGTCTCCTTATTGCTCTGTAATACAGGAGGTCTCACGCCCAACCTGCCTGGTTCTAGCAGGGTTTTCTTCTTCTGAACACATTTCCATGCTGTGAGGTTGCTGTTTCTCAGCTCCTCTTTCAGTACTGTTGCAGCAATATTAATTAATTTACCCTGAACTTTTGCTCTGCTGGATAACGAGGGATGCTGGTTCATCTGTCCCAATCTCACATGTGTTTCTTAGAGCAGAGTGGTTCTGGGTACCCCCTCCTGAATGGTCATCCTTGGTGGCACTGGAACAGGTTGCCCAAGGAGGCTGTGGATGCCCCATCCCTGCAGGCATTCAAGGCCAGGCTGGATGTGGCTCTGGGCAGCCTGGGCTGCTGGTTGGCGACCTGCACATAGCAGGGGGTTGGAACTGGATGAGCAGTGTGCTCCTTTGCAACCCAGGCCATTCTACGATGATTTTATACACTGTTTCTATCTGTTACTCTCACTGTTAGGTACTGTGCTCCTGGGCTGCTTTTTCCTAGAAAAGTAGCAAAAGAAATAAGAGGAAGCTGTGATGCAGGCGTCCTTTCCTGTGCTGGGTGGGTTGTCTCTTGTGCTTCTGGTCTTCCTGCTTTTAGTAGTGAAATGAAAGGGGGGGGGGAAACTGTAGCTGAAGGACAGTTTCTTACCAGCCAGCAAAATGTCTGGTGGTTGGAGTTGTGAGTTGGTGTGGAGTTAAGTTCTGCATGGGAGGTCCTAAGTGCGTTGTGAAACACAGAGCTGAAAACCAAGCAGGCTGAAACAGGGAATGCAGTACAGCTATGGGTCTTGAAGTCAGCCTTCTGCTTGGGTAACCACCTTGGGTAGGGAGGGGCTGGGGAAAACAACTTTAATTTTACTTTTCCATATGGTACAGAAACACAAAATGATGTAATAAATGTATTTCCAAGCTGTAAAATCTAGGGGAGGCTGGACAGGGTGCAGTGAAAAGTATATCAGAGGTGTTTCTGACTCAGGCTTCTCCTACAATAAGCAAGAGCAGAGTTATGTGGCTGGTCACAGCTCAGCTGCCTGCTGTTTGTAAATGAAAGGGCTCTCACTCTGATTTGAGTGTTTCTGAGTGCAGTTGATGTGCTGGAAGCTGTCGTACTTCTTTATCCTTCCATAAATAAAACTTGTGTTGTAGGGAGGATTTCTGAATTCTGCCCATTCTCTCCATTCAGGTTTCTGTGAGTAGCAGAGAAGCTGACGTAGTTTCTGTTGCAGGTGTATTTCCTAGCTTGACAGTGCAGAGTAACAGTGTTCCTGCTTTACATCTATTCATCCTTATCTGTGTTCTGCAGCTGGTCAATATTGCATTTCAGAGCCATCAGTAGAGTTGATTTGCTGAGTATCTAAAGCCAGCTTTCAGTCTTCTTTCTAGATGTGTTCTCCCCTTCATAGAATCATAGAATGGCCTGGGTTGAAAAGGACCATAATGATCATCTACTTTCAACCCCCTGCTATGTGCATTAATCCTGGCTGTTTCTAAAGGCCCCTGTCCTTAACTCTCACAAAATATATTCAAATTAATGAATTGATCTCATTTTATGGTGGAGATTATCAAACTTTTATTGGAGGAGCATGGATACCCCTGGGGATTTCGGGTAAAATCCATTTGGGGAGCAGATCTGAAGATGCTAGCAGTTTACTCTTGGGTTTGTGTATACAAATAGCCATTGCAGCTACCAAAAGTTTTACTTCTTCATTTCACTCGGTGCTTCTACATGACCACACAAGAACATATTTTCTTTCCTTGAGCCTGAGTCAGATTTATTGGCTTGTTCATTCTGGAAGCAGATGACGACAAAACTGAAACGTGTTCTTTTGATTAATCAAGGTAATCTGAGCTGTTAACAGCTGGCTGGCAGCCTTCAGCATCCTTATAGTTGTTCAGGCAATCTCCTATCAAACAGACAAAGGCAGAATTTGGGGAGATCTGTCCCTCCTTCAATAAGTGCTGTTCATTGGAGTATGAATGCTGCAAAGCATAAATGTGTGCATAGGGCATCCTGGGCTGGTATGAAATGTGGACGTTGGTGGCCCTGCATGCCACAGGGAGGCTTCATGATCCTTGAGGTCCCTTCCAACCCAAGCCGTTCTATGATACACAGTAAATGGGTGAATATACGGAAATCAAAACTGCAGACCAACTTGTAACTGAAGTCTTTGGTTACAATCTTGTGAGTTCCAGAAATGGCACACGTCAGAGATGATCGCCTCAAAACAAAACGCTGTATAGAAGCTCCTGCTCCTTTACAGCCCTGCAGGAAACATCAGACAAAGCTGAACAGGCTCCCTGCATCTGCAGTGGGAAGTTAACTTGTCTTCATTGTATGTAAGCACTTTAAGCTAAGAGGCATGTTTGCTAAATAGTTGCTGGTAGTTATGGTTGTCGTATAAGTAAAAGCTGAAAGACCTCTCCAGTTGGTGTGCAGCTTTCAATCAAGTTAGGAGGTTCAGCTGTCCTTCTGGTGTGTTGAACCTCATTAAAATCATAGAGTCAGAGGTTGGTTTGAGTTGCTGGAGACACAAACTGCTCCAACCCCAGCCCTGCTGTGGGCTGGGTGTTCCCCATTAGCTTAATTTGGCCTTGTTGAACCTCATTAGATTCATGTGGGCCCATTTTCAAGCCTGTCCAGTCCCTCTGGATGGTGTCCTTTCCTTCTTTTGTATCATCTGCACCACTCAGCTTGGTGTCATCAGTAAATTTGCTGAGAGTGTCTTCAGTCCCATCATCTGTGTCATTGATAAAGGTGTTGAAGTGCCCCAGACCCAAGATCCTGGGGTACACCACTCATGATCAGCCTCTATCTGAATGTAAAACCCCTGGCCACAGCCCTATGGCTGCAATGATCCAAGCAATTCTTTACTCACCATATAGCCTACCCTTCCAATCCGTATCTCTCCAACTTAGAGATAAGATTACAATGTGGGACTGTATCAAACGCTTTGCAGAAGTCCAGGTAGATGACATCAGTTGTCCTTCCTTTGTCCATTGATACCATCACTCCATCATTGAGCACTACCAGATGGGTCAGGTGAGGTCTAATACCAGTAGATTAACACCTGCTGAGCTGTGTGTCTGCATGGAAATAGGCAGTGCCTTAAACAAACAAGGCTGTTTGATCAGCAGCACTGCCCTTTGCTGAGAGCTGATGAGTTGCTTCAGTGGTTTGTTGCTGGAAGCGTAGCATTGCTGGTTCTCTTGCTTCTCACAGGTACAACAACCTAAAGTATGAACTTAAATATTGGCAGTATGGCTGTGGTTTGTTTCTTTGAACTGAAGGCTGGGGAGGAAGGGATTGTCCAGGGTGAGATGTTGGGATGCTTCTCAACCCCCAGCCCTGGTGCTGAGGGCAGTGAGAATTCTGTGCTCTGGGTCTTCTCAGGATGACCTCCCTGACCATTAGTAGTCAAGCAACACCAAACTTGATACACTTACAATTTTTCCCCAGAGTTTATTAACTATCCTAACCTCTTGGATCTTAATGCTATTGCAGAATTCTGATCTCTTCATGTTGCTTTTCCAAAGTGTTGTAACGTCGTCTGTGATCTTTGTTTGCTTCATTTTCAGAAAGAAGCGTGGATGGGAACCTCCAGCACCTTCTGTGAAATGAGGTGTTGAAATCCAGATGCGTATTAATGAGCCCTGATTTCCCTCTTTTTAATAAATATACTGGCAAAAAACAACTTCCAGACCTTATCTTAGCTTCATCTGAGAGTCTGCCATGACTCATATGAATAGACTTCATTCTATCTCTGCAGTGTGGAGAGCCTCTTTGTAAGAGGGTGAATGAATCCATAAAGTTGATGGCTAGAATTAGCGGAGCAGCCCTGATGCTTTTCCTCCTTATTTAATTTTTCGATGTGAGTTGTAAAAGAGCTGCACCAGATGTATAATTTCTGGCAGCTGAAGAATTAAGTTTTGCTTCTGAAAAGAACGTTCCTTTCTGAAGCAGAATGTCTGTTTCCAGTCCTCTGGTGTGACAGTGATGGAATCGGAAATGTTAGTCATAAACTTGTAAATCCTTTTTTCTGATGCTTTGCTTCCTTCCTGTTGGGAAGGTATGCGATGGCAAGGAAGCCACGTGGTGCTAATGCCTGTTTAATTATTCTCTGCAGCTTTGGAAACTCTTACTGCCAGCTAAAATAGCCTCATTACAGCTTGGGTTGAGTCTCTTCCTAGAGCTGTTCAAGACTTCTTAAAGCAGATGGTGATTCTGTTGGGAGTTGGCATATGCAGTCCACCCTCTGCCTTAGCAACCTGAAGTCATTAACTTTCTGCAGGAGTACAAACTCTCTTTATGTGAATGAGTTTTCTAGCCTGATTTTCCTCCTTTTATGCATAATAAATTCTTGGTACCTTTCAGGACTGAAAAGCTGCAATAATTCTCTTGTGTTTCTTGGCTGGAATGTTTTCTCTAGCTTCAATTCTTGCGTAGCATCGATGCGTGAATACAAACAGTCAGTTTTGACTCTCAATCTTACCACTTAGCAACAACTGAAAGATTTTATAGCAATTTTCTTCTTGGCTTGCCTACCATGCCTTCATCTATTAGCTCAGGTCTTCTGCTCTGTCAATTCCATCTCTTCTCAGATTGTGAAGAAGTGCCCAATAAAGCCAGCCAAATGTACCTGCTGTTGTGCCTCAGCTGGTTCCATCTCAATGAACAGTTTATCTGTGGTCTCTGGGCTCTTTGGAGCATCCTCCACTTCTACCACGTGAGTGAGGGCAGTCTGGAGCCTTGCAGAGGGAGAACCTTGTGCTTATGGCTACCAGGATGGCTGAGCTCAAGGAGCTGGATTGCTAAATCTGAGACTGACTCCATCCCTCTTACGGTGAGCAATCCTTTGCTTGGCTTCCTCCTTGGAGTGAAGCAACTCAGCTCAGAGTGAGAGCATCCTACAACCATCTCAGGCTCTTATCTGAAAGATCTAGGCAAGACCAGGCGTCTGAAATACTGCAGTGCTGCTCTACACAGGGCTGTCATCCTCTATTCCCCTCACCTATGGAGCCAGCTGCTGGGTGGGCTCCATCTTCTTTGGTTGCCAGAGGTGTGTTTGCTTTCCCGTGTCACATTAAAGCTATGCAAATAGTTTCTATAGCAACAGGTCTTTTTGCTGAGCTCTGACGCAAAGTCCTGAAAGGTCTTTCTCATTCTGTCTCTATCCGGTTATGATTTTTTTTTTTTAATCAACTCTTGAGGAAGATAAAGGGGGAAATTAATTCTGATCTGTTTCGGGAGTTGCAGCAGGAATGGCTGTTTAGTCTTTAACAGCCCGATGAAGTTTCTATATCAGAACATGAGATCTGGGCTGGCGGATGTATCGACTGGAATAACTGTCCGTAACTCTGTGCTTGTTCTTGTTCACTTCCTTACAGCCGTGTATTTTTATCCAAACCTTTGCACTTCCTTAACGTGATGCACCTGGGCTTAAGCAACAAGTTCACTCAGCCTTTCTCGGGTGGCAGAGAATGAAAGTAGTGATGTTTGCAGGCTCCTTTGGTGCACTGACAGAGTTTGGTGGCAGCACTTGAGCACAGCTCTGACTAATAAAGGCAGGGTGAATTGAGGGAAAGTATCATGCCAAGGGGCCAAGAGACTGTGGATGGATGTGCCAGCCTCCTTGTAAGCAGAGGATGTGCAAATCCTGTCCTTTTCTTGATATGGAGGATAACAGGATGGCACTTGGAGGGAGTTTTCCTTGTTGAATTAAGGCACAGCAGGATACAGTCCAGGATCTTGGCTCAGCTGCTTTTACCTGACTCGTCTGATGCCACTCAGGGTTTGGATTCGAAAGGATGTGCGTGTATGGGAGCTGCTGAGACAGACACAGACTTTGAACTGTGCTTATTTTTCAGGAGAAGCAGCTTGTAAAGCGAGCAGGAAGGACTCAAGCAGGATAGGGGTGACAGGAGCTCTGCTCTTACAGCACAGTCGGGTACTGGCCTTCTGTCTCCCTGGTATTGCCTGGCACTGGTGAAGGCGTAGCAGAGGGGTTAACACGAAGCTTCTTCCTTCCTTTAGGAGTTCTGGCCCTCCTCCTCAAGGTGCTGGCTGTTCCAATTGACACAGTGTTCCAATTGACACAGCTTGCTGTGGGCACAGCTGGAGAAGTTTTGCAGCTGAGCAGCTCTCATCTGTCGCCTGGCTGCAACTTGCTAGTAATATTCAGAAGATCTTGTGCCAAATTGACAAGATCTGTATAAATGAGAAGTTTGAAATACCCTACAGCTCTGTGGTTATATTCTTGACACAAAGATCTACGTGCTTATTTGTTTCTAAAGCTTCCTTTGCTGCCCAAGCTGCCGTAACCTGACAGAAGATATGCAAAAGGGAGGGATGACCTTTGTGTACCTATTGAATTGCTTTGGCCATGGGGAGGGATGTATTTCTTTTCCTGAGGTTGCCTGTGTGACACTTGATGGGTCTCTTGGCTTTCTTTTCCCCTGCTCTACAATAGGGTAACAGCTGTCTTCATAAGACAACACTACTCTTCCTTCAACTCTTTACAAGGGTAGATAACAACAGGACAAGGGGAAATGGTGTGAAGTTGAGGGAGGGCAGATTGAGGTTGGATGTCAGGGGGAAGTTGTTTGCTGTGAGAGCGGTGAGGTGCTGGAACAGCTGCCCAGAGAGGCTGTGGATGCCCCGTCCATCCCTGGAGGTGTTCAAGGCCAGGTTGGATGGGGCCCTGGGCAGCCTGGGCTGCTGTGAAATGTGGAGGTTGGTGGCCCTGCCTGTGGTGGGGGGTTGGAGCTTCGTGATCCTTGAGGTTTCTTTCAACCCAAGCCATTCTGTGATTCTGATAACTGATCTTGGCCCCTTGGCTGAAGTCTCTAAGAATCCACATATATATATGAGTTTGTATATGCATACATTTATATGTGTGTGCATATTAATATGAGACTTCTCCGTGTTGAATTACCTTCTGCTGTGTGACACAATGCTGTCACACATTACGGTGGCTCTTAATGAGGATGTGAACGTTTCTGATTGTTCCTGAACATTCTGCTCCACAACTGTGCTGACGTAAATCCATATCTAACATCAGGCCCTGATGCGCTCTTGGCAGTGCTGGTGTGAGTGAGCCAAGCTGGTGGTCTAATAACAGCACCAGTTGCTCTGGAGATGCTTCTGGGATCCGTTTGGCTTTTGTTTTATCAGTGCTGGGCATAGCAGCAGGTTTTGTGAAACCACTGTTTGCCTTTCTGCTGTGGAAATGGCACATCTGTGGAGCGCGGGGTGAGTGCTGAGAACCTGAGTTACTGCTCTGGCTTCTCTTTGTTGTCCTCCAAGCCTGCTCTCTTCCAAATTCTGTCTCTTGTCTGGCTGCATTCATAGTCATACAACAGCATGATGCTTCCCATGTAATCAAAAACCTTTCCAACAGTGTCTGGTGTAAAACTGGGCTGTAAAACTTGATGCATGAAATCACGTGCCTTTCTGGAATTTTTTCCTGGCCTCTTTCGTGCCCTCTGTCCCTGCTCAGAAACCTTCTGGGCTTCAGCCCTGCTGTTCTGCAGGTCACCAGCCCTTCTTGGGAAGGACGTGCGTAGCAGGCAGAACATCTTGCGCACAGTTTCCAGGGTTACCTGTGTAGTGCTGATAGCAAGCAGGAAATTAAAATGCTCCGTGATGATGATACGTATCGACAACAGATGGTGGCCGTTAGGTGTGCGTGCATGTCAGGGGAAGGCATAAAGGCATAAAACCAAACAGAGTGGCTCCTTGTTCCCTTATTGCCATGGTGGGTCTCACTCTGGTTCTTGGAAGATGACTCCAAGTGTGTGGCTTCAAGCTAACTTCTTTGCAGAGCTCCTTGTGCTGATTATCAGCCCTTCCGTCCCTTCCCTCGCTCTGTTTTTCTCTCTGTTTTCTCTTCTATACAGCTATTGTCTCTTGTCTCCTAAAAGGCTCCCTTACCTTGGGGCTGTTCTACTTTGAACCTCTCCAAACACGGTCTGGCTCACTGTAGCCTTTCTTTGTGGAGACCACAGTAATCTGCTGTAACCTGAGCTGAAGGATTCTGGGGGACTTTAACATTAGGGGGCTGCTAAATCTGAAGAAACCAACTGAGGATCTGTTGTGCTGAGCTCTGGGACTAGCAAAGTCTCATGCTACATGTTCCTTTCCTTACTGAGCCAACTCTTCCTCCTCGTGGGTTTCTCCATATTAATCCTGCATTAAATCTGAGATGCAGAAATCAGAAGGAGTGTACAACTGCATGCTAGCTCTCAGTGCAGAACAGCAAATATCCCCCTGATCTTTGGCTACAGATCTTTCTGATTGCTGCATATGCCTGAACAGCTGCTGGCTGGTGTGTTTCAGGGTGAAATGCAAAGGTTTGGGCATGGAGCATCCTGGAGGATAGCAGTGCTGGTGTTGAAGCTGCAGAAACCACCGTGATGGCTTAGCTTTTCTCAAACCTAAAGCTGAGCTTTGCTTGTGGTATGTGCAAGCACAATGGAAGCCCGTGTAGAGGTGTGCTCTGCTCCTCATTGCTGGCTTGATGAGCTGTAGTTTTAATTGATATTAGATACTAGAAGTTCCACAAAGGCTGGATTTGTTCTAACCTGGGCACAAACTGTTATTCAAATAGAACACTATAGACTGACTTCTGAGATAGTGTACATATAGTTGTGATTGAATCCAAACCAAAGTGTGCTGGTGATGCTACTCCTTGCTTCCCATAGCTTAGCCCTGAAATTTATACTTTTGAGCCACAAATCTGCTGAGATATTGGCTGGAAGGATCTTCCATGCTCATGCGTGTATTTTTCTTAATGCAAATGTTTAATTTCAGATGTTCTGAACGATGCCATCTTTGACGAAGACCACGATGAGATGGTAATTGTGAAGGACATAGACATGTTCTCATTGTGTGAGCATCACCTCGTTCCATTTGTTGGAAAGGTAACTCTTCCTCGTCAAGCAAACATGGGAATACATGATAAAAGACACATGTAAAAGACTTTGTAGCTATAACTACAAAGCTTTTAAAGCTGTAAGTATTTACTGCTTACGGCTATGATTCTAAAAGTTAATCTCCAGAGAATACAAATAAGAAAGACCTCCTTAATGTGAGTTTTATTTGGATTTAAAGCTCTATGCTCAACCTTTCCTAGTCTAACTAATCTAATGGTTTCTGACATTTCACATTAAAGCTCTTCTTTGTGAAGCAGCAGCGAGCCTGGAGGGCAGACATCTTGATATTAAACCAGCTCACCCTGCACGCTGCCTCCGTCACGGATTTAGTTGCTGGCTCAGAGCTATCCAGTGCCTCTGTGGATGGAACAAACTTCTGACTAGCAGCCCTCTATTAAATGGGCTAGCAGGAGGCTGCGTGGCTTGGGACTCCCATGAACAGAGCTGGTGTTTCAAATGGTGGCACCAACATCTTAACGCTCCCCCCCGGTCCCCACCACCAACAAAACCAACTCAATGTCTGTTGAGTTGAATAGCTTGAATAGCTCAGTGTTGGTAATTCTGAAAACCTCAGCCTCTTTGCTCTTGTAAGAGCACAGAAGGATGTTATTCTGATCCATCTGTTCTCCATTGAGTGCTCACGAGACAGAGGAGCAAGTGCTGTTGTAATCTGTAAAATTTGATCAGTACCACAAAATGTTCCAAGTAAGCTGTCCCCCAAAAATGAAACAGACAGAAACCAACTGTTTATTGAGTCAACTCATTTTCCTCTGCTTTCTTCTCTTACTGTTAGCATTTTCTACCATAAAACAAAATAACTTCTGTTTCTGTGAAAGCTTTATATTTCGCCTGTTATTCTTGGTTACTGTGTGTTCACTTCATTACTTCTGTGGCAATACATACATTCCTTTTACATCTAGCAGTTCAGCCTGTGTGCTTTGGAGAAATCTCACAAGCACTGAGTCGGTTCTGCTCATATACTGGTCTGCTAAATGCCTGGGTACACCTCTAAATATTCTCAGCCTAACCATTCTCCTGCTGGGTACAAACAGGCTGCAAATACCCATCAGCAGATCTTGTATTTGCAGCTCTATGTTGAATAAAATCCAGAAATTCACACACACACACACACAAATTACTCTGTGGGGAACAAGATTCAGCATTAATTCTAAGTTATGTCTCTTTATCTGAAATGTTTCGTGTCTTTTCAGGTGTCAGTGGGTTGATTACCCAACAGAAGTGATAGGAATGAGCGAGTTAGCCAGGTAATTAGGTGTGCTGTGGTACCTCTACCTGCAGGTACAGCAAAACAGGACTCTGAGGTGGGGCCTCCAGGCAAAGCACTAAGGCAGAATCCTACTCTGATACTCCCCTGCCTTATCTTGGCTAATTTTTCAAGTCTCTGGTACAGTGACATAGATGCTGGTTTGTGATCTGTTACTAGTGTAAGCCCTCTTGATTTCAGCAGCCTTCTGTATAACAGGAAGCTGAATGCCATTCCTTCTCCCTTCGGATCTGAGCTCTTTTCTACTCCATAACTCATTTCAGCCTAGTTACATGTTCCTGATGAATGTTCAGTCAATCCATGGTCAAGCAGGACAGAAGCTGGCTGATTCATACAGTGATCTATGGCACTACTGGTAGCACGTAGGTTGGCATTAAAACAATAATAGTAGAGAAACAACAGTAAGTGCAGCCTGGTTTTGGTGGCAAAGTACTTCTTGCCATCAGGTCCTTTACTGGAATTACAGTCCTTCTCTCTCCCTTTATCCACTTTGGGACTTGAAAGAAAAGCATGGCTATGTCAGATGGACGGTGCTATGCTGAGTGATATTAAGTACTGCTTTTTGTGCCTAAAGGCAGCAGTACTCTGTGGCATTCCTGAGACTTGGAACATAAGCTTTGACTCTTGGAGAGCTGTGATTTTCCTCTCCTGCCTCAGAACGCTCAACTTATCCTGCACCAGGGCACTGACCTCACAGGGCATTACAGCCTTTGATAGCTCCACTGCTTGTTTCTCCCACATGCTAAGATTTCTGGGCTGTCCACCCTACTGGGACATATGCACATCTCACTCTGTATGCATGAGTTTCATACACGTTTGGGAGTTTGGTTTTCATTCTGCTAATGGCTTGTTCTCCTCTGTCTAGGTACATATTGGCTATCTTCCTAACAAACAAGTACTTGGCCTCAGCAAGCTCGCTAGGTAAGTGTTAATGTAATGAAAGTGATGCTAATTTGTAAAAAGGATTCCAAGCTGTGCTAACTGTGTTAATCTTGCTAATCTTGTCCCCCCTCTGAAGCTCAGCACACTTTGTGTCCTGGATTTGGATTTAGACCAATCCTCAGCATTACACGTTTGTGTGTGTGTGTGGGGAGAGGACAGATGAGTCTTAGAGCTCATCTGTGTTAATTAATGTAACAGTTGATTGGAATAGAGCCATAACACTTCTGCACGTCCATCCCCACCCAAAACATTGGTGTTGAAAGAGAACACAGAAGCAAGAAGAAGTGGAGAGTCTTGGCTGTGTCCTAAGGCAGATCAGCAGGCACAATGGGGATCTCTAGAAGCTGGAGATCTGCGTGTATATAGACTGATAAGAGCAGGGATCTCAAACTGCAAATGAACACACCATCTGGATCTGAATCCAAAGCTTTCATCTGATAAATCTGGCATTTCTTTCTCTCAAGGCCTGCCCAGAGAGTCCTGGGTTAGACTTTTTTGCTAAGGCTCTGCTTTAGAAAGAAAACAGTTAAGATACACTTGAGAAATCTACTTGTTATGTGAAATATTGTTTTCCTTGGCAAGTGCCCTTGGATCAGCTGTTGCTGAGTTGTGTTATAAGGTGACAATTTAATGGGGGATGGTAGATCCCTCATCTTGGGCACCTGAGTGGAAGGATGTCTTGCAGCAAGTGAACCTGAAAACACTGGAAAGTCCAGAAAAAACACGTAGAACACACTTATACTTCCCTGATACATCTGTTAATCTTTCTGTAGTTCCAATCACACTAAGGAGAATTAGCCTAGTAATTCTGCATGCCTGTGAGTTTTCTTAGTGGGTAAGAGATGTGCGGTGTGTGACACTGAAGTGCTTTGAAATCAGCCATCTCTGTTCTGTGCTCTGCTTGCACAGCAGTGAGTTTGGGCTGGAAGCAGGAGGGCCCTGGGAGGTCACGTTTTGAACCTCATATTACAGGGCAACCAGCTTCACATCTTCTAGCAGCGCTTGCAGGGCTGGAATTTGCTCTGATCAGAAGACTGATGCAGTTAAACACTTAAATTTTCGTGGCAGACATTTACTATGCCTGCACTTAGCTGCATCTCGATATTGTAGGATGTGATTCTGCAATTACTTCTGAATTTGCTGGTTTAAAACTGTCTCAAATGGTCCTCAATGCAAGGGGCAACATGGTGCTAGAAGAGTCCAGTTTTTCCACTATTTATTCTCAGTATGAAATACGTTTGGATGTGTGCATGTTTTCCTGCACTGTTCTCTGAAGGTTAAATATTGCCCTTTTTTTTTTATTTTATTCTTTCAAGTGAGGGTAAAACTTCCATATCCTACAATAATGAAAAGATTAGATTCTTGTATAACCAAATCTTCTCTATCCTTGCTTGCTTTTGTGTGCTCGCCATGAGGAGATCTGTAGGCCAAATAGTGCTTCCCTTTCTCGCCCTATATAATGCAACCAGTGTTCACACAAAGATTTGTGAGGCTGTTGGTACTGGAGACCTAATCTTTCATAATAGGATTAGTCTAATGTGGTGTGTTCCTGCCGTCGGGATGACCTGCATTCAGCAGACAAACACTTTTCCTTGGATTTTAAGCTCAGGTTTGATAACACCACCTCTGTTTTCACACAGACGTGCTTACAGGACTTCTCACACACAAAACAAACCCCAAGCATCAACTGTGTTTCTCAATTTCTAAATATTATGTTGCATTGTTCAGAATAGCTGTACCACGACTGTTTCATTTCTGGAGGGGACTTTCTGCATATAATTCCCTCTCCAAAGCAGCAGGCAAGTCTCATTGTCAGAAACGTTTCTTGTAAGCAATGCCTCAGGCTGCCAGCCAGGGTCTGCTTTTTGTCTGCTCTGACCAGATGGGTATTGAATCTTTCTGGAGCAACTTTTAACGTGGCCACTTGACGTGTAATTAAGCATTTGGTCTGCATGCATAAGGACTGCATGAATAACTCGCTGAGTCACAGAGCAGCCATGGATTTTTTTTTTTTTTTTTTTGAAAGATGTGGATTTCAGCATTGTGTTGATAGATGATCAAACCATCACTCGAATTGCTCTGCAGATGGCTTGCATTTGAAACCCTGTTAGAGATGAGCACCAAGGTGGTGGGCCCTGCACTGAAATGTGAAGAATGGGTGGAGAGTATCTATTTTATCATAGAATCATAAAATGGCTTGGGTTGGAAGGGACCTCAAGGATCATCAAGCTCCAACCCCCCTGCTGCAGGCAGGGCCACCAACCTCCACATCTAATAAAAACAATTATTTTTCCCATAGCTCTTAGTTAAATCTGGGGTTAAATGTAGGAATCTAGAACATCTCTTGCTTAAGGCCAGTAGCCTTCTGGGAATCCCAGCATCCAAACATCCTTAAAACAGCATTTGGTAGGCAGTCTGTTAACTCAAGGTTTAGCTTTCAGGGAGTCTTTGGCTGTGGATTCTCTTGCAAGTGTGTGATCCAGGTGGGTGGTAGAACAAATACTTCAAAAGCAACAATCAAAGCAAGGAAGCTCTAAGGAGAAGTGATAGGTTTGCCCCTAAAATGGTGGGGTAGCAGAGAAGGGGTACCTGCCACTAGAACCAGCAGTGTTGTAAGGGAATTCATTGAGCTGTGCCAACCAGGGGCTGAGCAGAAGCATTGCTGGATGGATTTCCAGGAAGAACTTTGATCAATACAGTGATCTGTTGGTAGTGGAAATTAATTGTGAAGATCAGACAATATGCAGAAAGGAATAACTAAAACAAATGGTCTTTTTCTCTTCTAGGATTGTGGAGATATACAGTAGAAGACTACAAGGTAAACAACTGGATCTTCTTTCTATTGCTTGTGCAGCCCTTTGCTGGCTAGCTTGGTGTACCAGTAATTATAGGTGGGCTACAGCTGTTCAGATTTTAGAGAGTGAAGAAAAAGAATGCGTTCTTGAAGAGGTGTTTCTAATCTGTCTCCTTACTTAGCCTCTGCATTTCCCCTGAGGGGTAAAATGTGCCTATGAAAATGAATGTAGGCAGGAACTGATTCGGGGGATAAATGTAAGATACAGCTGCAAGGAATAACTGGAGTTGCTGGATGCTGCTGGAGCTGTGCTCTCCTCCAGATAATTGGGCATGCCTTCAAGGAGTGCTGTCTGAAGAGATGAACTGAAAGCTGCCATATTAAGGAAGTTTGCTGCTCTGGAGAAGCAGAGGCAACTATAAGAGCTGCTTCAAGGCTTTGCATCAGGCTCAGCCTGCTCTCACTGTCCTGTGGTTGAATTTGGCCTGTTTGTGGCAACAGAAGTCTTATTGACCATTAGGTGTCAAACTGGTGAATAGCTGCAGGAAGTAAAGCTTTGGAGGACAAGAGCCTCCCTTAATTTGCTCTTTAATTAATTTATTTTTTTTTAAAGCTGTATATCCTTTTCTTAAAATAAAGGGAAATTGTGAGTGTAGGGAGTGGATAGTATAGCAGTAAAGTCAGTGAGTAAATATGTGAAAAAGTAAATAAAAGAACAGAGAAAAGCAAGAAAATCTAACTGTATAATTATATAAAAAATAAAGCCATAACTGCAAGTCACAGTAATACAAAGTCCTGCAAACACATAATGAAAAATGACTCCCAGTATAAGCAAGCAAATGAAAGATTCATTCCAAGGTACAAAATATAAGCTAGGGTTTGGTATTAATAAAATTCATTTGGAAAGAGCAGAGCTTGGACTAGGGACAGGGAGCAGAATCCTAGAATCATAGAATGGCCTGGGTTGCAAAGGAGCACACTGCTCATCCAGTTCCAACCCCCTGCTGTGTGCAGGTCACCAACCAGCAGCCCAGGCTGCCCAGAGCCACATCCAGCCTTGAATGCCTGCAGGGATGGGGCATCCACAGCCTCCTTGGGCAGAAGGGACGGGTGCTTGGAAGTGAGGATGCTTGTAGGGAATGATGATGCATTTAAGCTTGTCAGTTTTAACAGTGGTTCTGAACTCCCTGTTGTCCTTTCAGTCCAGGAACGCCTTACCAAACAAATTGCAATAGCCATCACAGAAGCCTTACAGCCTGCTGGAGTTGGAGTGGTGATCGAAGCTACGTGAGTTCCTCCAAGCTGCTCTGCAGCAGTGTATGGGCTGGGTGTGATAACAGCTGTGTGCTGCAGAGTTGCTGTGTGTTGCTTCAGCTCTTCTAAGCTGTGTGACGCTTACAGGAGGTAGGCAGGACTGATCTTGGCCCATTCAGTGCAGAGGGTTGGAGCTGTTTGAAGTGTGGGCTTGCCTGAACCATTGCAGAAATATGACAACTGGGTCACCTGTGCCATTTGCACACGATCCCCAAGTACAGCAGAGCTCGAGTCTAGCAACAAGCACGTCCTTGTGATGATCAAATTGGAAAGGTGGGATTTTCCTAGGATTTGCAGAGAGAAGACAGCACTCAGAAGCTAAGAACTTGACATTCTTTGTCCCAGAGGACAGCTGATGTCCATTGGCCCTTCTAACAGTTTGCCATTCATGGAATCATAGAATGTCTTGGGTTGGAAGGGACCTCAAGGATCACGAAGCTCCAACCCCCCACCACAGGCAGGGCCACCAACCTCCACATTTCATAGCAGCCCAGGCTGCCCAGGGCCCCATCCAACCTGGCCTTGAACACCTCCAGGGATGGACGGGGCATCCACAGCCTCTCTGGGCAGCTGTTCCAGCACCTCACCACTCTCACAGCAAACAACTTCCCCCTGACATCCAACCTCAATCTGCCCTCTTTCAACTAAAAGCCATTTCCCCTTGTCCTGCTATTATCTACCTTTTCAAAGAGTTGACTCCCTTTCTAGATGCGGAAGTTTTGTTTTGATTTTATTTTTCCACAGAATGTAACATGACCCTGTAAGAAACACTTGTCTTCATGGCACTTCTTATTTCTTCATAGTACATCTCATTTACTGACTTCCTCTCCTTTCTCCTAGGCATATGTGTATGGTAATGCGTGGGGTACAGAAAATGAACAGTAAAACTGTAACCAGCACAATGTTGGGGGTATTCCGGGAAGACCCAAAGACCCGTGAAGAGTTCTTGACACTCATCAGGAGCTGAAACTGTTATTCTCTAAATGCACTCTGGAGGTCGTTCTGTCCAGTGTCGCCGTCTGTTCTTACTTGTTCCTACGTCACACTCTTAAATTAAATCGTCGTGAGTTGTTGTCATAGTCTTTGTTCAGTAAAAGACTTGTGATGGCAAATGAAAAATGTAATGATGAGGTTGGCTGCTCCTGGATCTCCAATTGTGCTGATATTGCAGAACTACAGGCTATCAACAGGGGGTTGAATATGGTTCTTTACACCTACCGTGCAGAGTATGCTGCTGTGAGGGGGAAAGCGTGCTTTGGGAATGAAATGGATATTTATGAAATAATAATGTTAGTGGAATAAACGTGGTGCAGCACAGGAAGCAAACGGCTGTGGATCCTTGTAGGACCACTTAATGCTGCCAATACTGTACCTTTGGTGAGGAAGATGGTTCTGAATTGTCTCTGGGTGCACATTATTACAAGTCCTGCAGTGGTTTTTTCAGTGTCTGGATATGTCTGTTATACCTCTTTGAGATGTTACCTCTGGTGGTGTTTTATATTCTTGCTAGTATTAACTCTATTTGTCCTACTTGAGAATTTAAAACACGTTTTTCCTAACCTCTTAACATGCAGGGAATTGACTTCTAAGAAATGATTTGGAACGCAATTTTATCTCAATATATAAAGGGTTTTATGCACCTTTCTCTCTGTGCCTCAGGATGTCTCGCCACTTTAACTGTCAGTTTGCTACTATTTTTAAGCAAACTCTCATGGGGTTTTGGGAGGAAGACCCAGAATTTGTCTGCAAAGAGCTAAGATATCCAAAGAGGTATTTTTTCCTAGCTTTAAGTTTTCCCCCTTGGATTTCCATCAGTTAGACTGAGAAGCTAGATCTGGTTTGATCTCAACATGAGAATTTCTCTCCAAGCATTCTGAGGTTTGCATCATGAACGTTGGACCAAAGGTGAGCACTGAAATCCTGAGCAGATCACGTAGTGTTTCTGCCTGATGGCAGTTCATTCCGGGGCAAAGCAACCTGAAATTACAGCTTATTTCATAAGAGCAATTGAGAAAAGCATTTCCAGGGGGCGTCAAAATGAATTAAACTGCAGTTTTCTGTCTATGTGGCAAGCTCTGTATGTGGCAGCATCGGTACAAAAAGTTTCAGGCAGCTGGACTGGGTTGAACTTCTTATACTCTGTTACGATTTTAATGGGAGTTGTGTAACTCATAATTGGGAAAACATGATGTGCAAATGAAAACCACCCTCCTTAAACTAAGGACAGGAGACAAAATAAAGACAATGCCAGCTGTGGTGTGGGATGCCTGCAGTGCAGGTCCCCATAGTCACCCTGGCTTTGCTGAATATGAATCCCAAGATGTTCAGCTAACCTGAACTGTAGTTCCTGGTTGGCAAGTTAGACCTGTTAGGTGCTACAGAACTGTCTGCTATCATGAACAAGCTGTGCTGCACACTTACAAAATATACTAATTCTATGGCTTCAGTTCTCCTTATTGACAGACAGCAGATCCTGCCACTCTCAAGTTCAGCGTTGGTTTCACACATCCAGGTGAAAAGCCTTAAGTCTTTCTTGCTTGAAGTTCCATGTAAAACTCTCTCCTTTTTAGGTTGGAAGGAGAACTTGGGGACCAAAGAGGTGCACAAAAATCTATTTGTTTCTCTCTGCTTGCTTTAGTTGTTTGAAGTTAAGGCTTTGTAAAACACAATCTTACTCCTGAGGTAGTGGAATGGTTGTGTTTTAACCACTTATCTCTATTCAGGATAAAGTTCATATTTCACCACTGCTGTTTTTTATTTCCATGTGACCTGTAGTCTTTAAAACATACCTCTATACTTGTGGCCTTGGATTTTGTTCCCCTATTTGTTGTAAGACTTTTTTTTTGGAACATGTCAAATACATCAGCTTTAATGACAACCAGTGTGTATATACATGTAATACCTACAGCCTGCCGTTGTACCACATCAGTGTCCGTTGTCTCAAAAACATTCATTGTTTCAAAAACATTAAAGCACAGTATTATCCTTTGGAGTGGTAGCATCCTTGGTGACTGGCAGGTGATGGCATCACAGGCTGAGGTGGGTGGTGGTGTCATAAAGTCATCACCAAGGTTGGAAAGACCTCCCAAGATCATCCAGTCCAACTGTCCACCTACCACCAGTATTTCCCTGTAGTTTCAGTGCTTGCAAGTGCTCCAGCCTCCTAACAGTGATGTTCAGTATCTCTTCTGAAGTAAATTTCTGTGTGTTGACAGAGCAACAGAAAAAAAAAACAACTCCAAAATCATCTTCCTTCAAGCTCAGTGCAACCTTCCTCATTCTGCTCTTCAGTATCAGAGGATTCAGCTACAGGAAGAGGGGAAGCAGTGGCTGCTCTGGAGGATGTTGTGTGCACTGGGCTTCATGTGGGCATAGAGTCCTTTTGAGGACTGAAGCCCTGTTGAAGGCATTGTTGGAGTCTCTCCATAGACTCTGTCCTTGACTCGCCCAGCTGGAGCTGAGCATTTTGGGCTTGAAACTCGATGATCATTGCGGTCCTTTTCCAACCCAGGCCATTCTATGATCTGATGGGGAGGATGCAGTAGTGAGTTCTGCTGCCCCATAGCCAGTGAAATGAGCAAGAGCTACCAGGGATGAGCATTTTAAATGCTCCTGTGCTCAGTTTGCCCAAATGAATATATCCTAACAGCAGAAAGGATGCAGGTGTGATCAAATCTTGAGGATGGAGTCTTGTGCTTTATCTTGGCTGAGTCAGCCCAGTGTGTACCATGTAAGCAGCGAGCTCAGCTGGTGCCAGCAGCTGCTCCTGCAGGATAGGAAGGCTGTGCTAAAGGAACTGGCTCTGGTGTCCTCATGGGATGCAGCTACCTCTGAAATTCAGGGATGAATCCTTGAAAATAATAAAAAAAAACTTGCAAGAACCAAGAGACTGGAAGGGATGGTAAGCCTAGATGAGCAAATGGGAGGAAGAAGAAGGAATTAAATGCTTTTAAGGAAGTCACCATCACTTTATGAATCTCTCATCTACATCTCTGTGTCAAAGCACGGGGTCAAACAGATGAGGGTGAGAAAAGGCACTCAGAAATTTTGGGGCTACAGGCGATGGGGGATCTACTGGGTGCAGCCAGCTTGGTGGGTGAGCTTTGTGGTGGCCACAAACAGAGGAGTGATGAATGGGAAGGCCCTCCAGCCTCGTGTGTTTCTTCTGAGGAGCCTGTCCTGTTTGGAAATGGCTCTCATGGGAAGCCTCAGAGCATTTTTAAGAATTGCCTTTGTTGTGAAGTGGAGTTTCTGTTCTCGTTGTGGTTGCGTGTTGAAGCTGGTGGTTATGGTGGGAAACAGCCTTTTGGGCAAAGCAGATGCTTCTGCAAGAGATTTTCTATTCCCTGCCTTGAAAACAAAGCAAAACAGAAACAAACCCAACAGTGTGGGATTTGAAAGGAACCTCCCTGGTTTTGTAATCATGTGAAATTCTGTTTTCATTGAGGTGAAACAAATTGCTTGAAAGTCTACGGCTCAGAGCCCAGAGGAGAGAGCTGTGGTGGGGTCACCATCCCTGGAGGTGCTCAGTGAGCGTGGAGATGTGGCACTGAGGGACGTGGGCAATGGGGATGGGTTGGGAATGGGGATCTTAGAGGTCATTTCCAAGCTGAATGATCCTGGTGGCTTTACGTAGCCATCACAATCTTCCAGCAGCTCGTAGTTGCTTAATGAGCTCGGCTTGCTCAATTACACAGCCTCTGCTTTCTGCCCCTGCTGTCTCTGTGTGGTTATCAGCGTTGGGAAAGACACTGCCGTCAGCTCTGCCCTTTGAGCTTTGGCTAAACCCTTCTGCTGAACTCTTGGAAATAACCTTGCTGCAAAGCCTGCCTTCCAGTTGTATTTAAAGCTGCGGTCACGGTTTGGTAGTTGAGAGGATATGAAACATTAAAGTTCTTTTTAATAAGTTTTGGGCCGTGCTGGTAACAGGGACATCAGTTAAATCATCATGCACAACATCATAGCCAAATTTTGCTGTAATAACCCCAAGGATATCAAGGTTTGGTGGGCTTTTTTGATCAGCTTTATGCTGTGATTTTGATGTTGGGATATTTCAGAGGAGGCTTTACCTTTCCATTTGCATTATGATCTGATGGCAACAGTGGAGCAAAAGCTAAAGATCTGTCATAAGAGCAGTTGGATTATACAGGTCCATTTAAATAACGGCAGTGAGGCACTGCACAGCCTGCCCAGAAAGGTGGTGGTGCCCCAACCCTGCAGACACCTGAGGTCAGGAGATGGGCTGTGAGCACTGATGGAGCTGTGGGTGTCCCTGTGCATTGCGGGGAGTGGGACCTGATGGCCTTGAAGGGTCCTTTCCAACTCAAACCATTCTGTGCTTCTGTGATCCACCAAACTATTTTAAAGGTGCTCGGGCAAACCAGAGTGTAGGAGGCAGGGTTCATCCTTTAGCCATAAATATTGCAGGTTTGGGGGTCTGTGGAGAAGTTAATTATTGGGAGGCAAAAAAAAACTTCAGCCCAAACATCTGCCCCATTGGTATCACCTTTATAACACACCTGTGGGGTGCGTTTGCTTTTCAAGTCACGTAAGGTTACAGCTTAGAGCTGTGTTAATGCTTTCCATTGGGACCTGAATTCAGAAGCCTGGGGGGGGGGGTTCAGCCCAGGGCTGTGCACATCTGGCTGGGTCCTCCTTCCCATCACTGCTCACAAGGGAGGTGAGCTGGATGGAGGGAGGTGTTAGCACACGGGGATGGCAGGGATGGAGGAAGGAAAGAAAGGAGGACAGGAAAGGCTGTTGCAATAAAGGAAAATGAGTCGGGCCGTGGACACCCTGTCCCCTCAGCTTGGCGATGCTCAGGCTGCTGCTGCAGCCCTGGTCACACATCAACACCCTGAGATGCAGAAATAGGGCTGGGAGGAGCAGGCTCGGCAGCAGCACAGTCTGTGGCTCCCTCTGCTGAGCCCAGCCCCATCTCCATGAGCTGCAGGCCTCCAGAACAGCCGTATTTTCTGTACAGAAGTGGGAACTGTGGCTGAGCTGGTGATGCGCCCCCAGCTGAGCAGGGGCAGAACTGTGGGCATCTCCTGCTGCATGCCACCAGGACCCTGCCCCCAAACTGCACAGAGATGGGGGCTGCTGATACAAACAGACATTAGCATCCACCCGGGCACCTTGCTGGGGTGTGCAGGGCAGCCTTATCTTAACAAGGCTGCAAACGCTGCCGGTGTGGAGACGCAGAGATTTATGGCACCCATTCAGGCTGGCATATGGCAGGTAGTCCTTATCTATCTGCCTTTCCCTGTGGCATTCAGAGGCCAATAAAAGGCTGTTCCTGGCCTGCCAGCACCCCAAGGCATGGGGCATCTGAGGGCAGACCCGCTGTTCCCCCACTCTGCTTCCACCTCCCAAAGATGCCAGCGCCCGCCTTGTGTTACAGAGCTATTTGCAGCTCCCTTTGCTGGTGGGCAGGCAAAGAAAAATAGCTTGGAGACTGCTGAGCCCAGCAGTGAGGTCACCCCTGGTGCTGCCAAAAAGCTCTGCAGAGCCACAGCCGCTCCTGCAGCCCCACGTTGGGTGCTCCATCTCCTTTGGGACTTGGCATTGCTCCTAAGGGCATGGCTCTCCATTAGGAGGAGGGGACGAAGGCTGTGATGTCATGTCCCTGCTGCCAGCCCTGTGCTGGTGTTAATTATTTCCTCTAACTCAAGGATCTCACCTGGAAAAGCCCTCTTTACCCATATTAAACTTCCAAGCAATGGGAAATCCCTGCCTGGTGCTGGCAAGGGGTTGTAGTCTTGTTGTTAAATAGGAATTCTTTGCACCTGCATGGAGATTTTGTGTTTAGAACACAGAAGGACAGGAGCAGGGGGTTGGAATTAGATGGTCCCTCCAACCTCAACCATTTTCTGGTCTGCAATTCACTTTGAGCAGCTGGGCATGGGCTGCTCGGGCAAACCAGAGTGTAGGAGCATGGCACCAGGGCTGGAACATGGCACAACCCCAGATCTCAGATCCTCGGTTGCTGGGGGGGCTGATCCACGTCACCATCTCCCAGCAGCATGGAAATAGTTCTTTGCTTTTCCTTTTTTAAGCCTCTTTCCAGTGAGCCCATCAGCAGGACCTGCAGACGTTTCCTAACCGCACGGCTGCTGCAGACTTCCCCTGGAGCCCTTTCAGCCTTTCCAGCTCCAATTTTCCATCCGAGGGCTTTTTTTTTTTTTTTTTTTTTCCCCTTCTTTTTCTTTCCCTTTTCATTTGGTAGTAGCACAACAAACACATGCTTTGAAATCCAGACTGCAGACGCGCGTATGTGGAAAGTCAAACTGTTTATGGAAGGAAAAAGCATCTCGCTGGGTTTTTAGGTAATGCTTTTCTTAGCACAATGCAGTGTGGTTGGTAACCTGTGTGCAGCCAGCCCAAGCTCTGGGCAGGGTAATTTGGGTGGGATAGAGCAATGTGATGAGTCCTTCCCTCCAGGGCTGGCCCTTCCTGCACTGCCCAGGAGCAGCTTGAAATAGCAGGAGCCTCACTGAGGTTGCACTCAATGCTGTTGTCTGTCATTGAAGCCACAGCTCAGCTGGAGTTGGAGCTGATGAGGGACGTGGATGTGCACATTGGGATGCACTCGTGGGGGCTGTAGGAGCCATTGTGAGGTCGCTCTCGATAGTCCTGGGGAGGCTGTGGTGATCAGGGATGTTTCTGAGGGTGGGAAGAGAGCAAAGGGGACTCCTTCAGAAAGGTGTTGGGGGAGCCGATCCTGGCACCATCTCCAGACTCCTGAAGGACGTGTCAGTCATGGGGAGCAGTCAGGTGGATTCACCAGGGGGATTCATGGCATCATCCAGCTTAGAAAAGACCACTAAGATCCCCAGGCCCAACCTTGTCCACTGCCCATGTTCCTCAGTGCCACATCTCCACCACCAGGGATGGTGCTGTTGCCATCCTCAGGGACTTCACTGGGTTGTAGGGATGGGCCAAAAGGACATCGTGCAGCTCAGCAGGGCCACAGCAAGGCCCTATGGAAATACTGGGGCCAATGGCCTGGCAAGCAGAAGGAGCTGGGAGTTCTGGGGTTGCTCGGCCTTGAGATGTTGAAGCCCAGGAGGAGCTCAGTGCTGTGTGTAAATCCCCAACGATGGGGATAAAAATGGCAGAGCCAGGCCCTCCTCAGAAGCTGAAGTCAAAGAAATTCCATGTAAATGCCAGAAATTGCTTTTTTTCTCTTCACTGTAAGGGCTGTCTAAGCCTGGAAAAGGTCATGCGTTGTGCTGTCCCAAAGCCAAGCGGACAAGGACGGCCCTGAGCACCCACCATGGCTTGGGGGACGGCCTGCTCTGAGCTGCGCCTCTTACAGCCCTGCTAATATCAGCTTAGTGCTAAAACAAGAGCTGTGGCTTCTTCCCTTCCTTGGTGCTGCCCAGAACACAGCTGTGGCATCACACAGCTCTTGTAGAAGCCAAGAAAGCTGAGAAAAGACAGAAAAAAACAAAACAGGAGTTGTGGCCCTGGTATCCATCTGACAGATGAAGGCTGTGGAGGGAAGGCCGGTGATTTGTATCTACCCAACTCCTACAGTGGGACCTATGGAAGGAAAATACAACCGCCCTGTGGAGCTGAGCACTCTTCCCTCCCATCCCTCAGCCCGCCATTTACTTGCTGCTTTCCTTTTGGCTCCCAGCCACCCTGCCTTAAAGAGGGTAAATGAAGAGGCGGCACACCCCAGTGTTACAAAACCTTGTATTAATCATCTCCCTTCACTTTCAATATAACGTCGATATGAAATATAGCCATGACTCCTAGTTACATGGGAGCAAATGAGTAATAAATACATTGGAGCAAGTTGAAATCACGAAGGTGTTTCACTGGTAACAACATTTGAAAACTGTACACTTGCAAAGACCAGCATCTCCAAACATTAGTATTTCTGTATATCGGGAAGCTTTTACATGTAACAAACATGCTATTTCCATATATGACAAAATTTAAAAAATAGGCATTGCTTGGCAACATGAACTAGGCAAAAATATTTCTTTGTGCACTAATTTTGTACAGAAAAAACAGGACTAAAGGCATGCATGTACAATAAAGGGCTGCCCGGGAACGGCATGCAACAGAAGAGAGGTCAAAGCTCTTGGAAGTCAGCTTACAATAGGCATAAATACAGAGGGTTATATATTAATAAGGGAGGAAGTATTCTGTTTAACATTATTAACATTCCTGTTTGGGTTTGGTTGCCTTTTTTTTTTTTTTTTTTCCTTTTTTTTCTTTTTTTTTTTCTTTTTTTCTTTTTTTTTCTTCCTATTCCTCCCAGAGGAATACACATTCACCTTTAAGTAAAGATAAAGGAATACAAAAAATAAAACTCACTTTTGCAAACTCTTGATGACTCGTATAAAATCAACTTTTAGTGTTCTCGTAGCTTTGTGTGTGCAAAATTAGACGTCTGCAGGACCTACTTTCCATCAGGCACATCCAAAAAAAAAAAAAAATAATAATAAAATAAAAAAAATAACACAAAAACCCACCCACGGAGGAAGGTGACACCACAAATTCCTCAACGCCGAGTGCTGACCGGACCCTGCGATACGGGATCACAGCGTGCTGGGGGCACCGTGATGACCCCCCCCTCCCCAACATTAGACTTCACGATGAGTTGAGAAGCGTTGGGTTGCCCCTCTCCTGGCTCAGCAAAGGGTTCATCCCCAGCGGGACGGCGACACCTCAAAAGAAATGGGGTTATCCTCAGCGTCGCGGCCCTATAGGGCTGCCCCAGCGGGGCTGTGGGTACAGGGTGTGGGGCAGCAGCACCAGGAGCTGCCGGGGCCG